ATATATATATATATATATATATATATATATATATATATGATTTGAGATTAATTGAGAATGTTCCAAAGAATATCTTGTGGTTTAATGGAAGCAAAGCATTAGCTTTTGTGTGACTTATATACTATTAGTATTTATTGATATTTTGAGTTGGTTTTATTTGTATATTTTTAGTTTTCATTTTTAAGTTTTTCATTTTGTGTGTTCTAATTGTAGTATTTTTAGTAAACTTAGTTGTTTTAGTTTATTTCACAATTCAGTTCAATTACTGAAAACAAGTTTTAGTTAACAATAACAACTTGAATATTTCTAAGTATATATTTTTATATTTAAACATTTTCAAAATCCTAAAACATTGTTTTTTTTTTTCAGGTTTAAATTTGGACCCCACTGTAAGTAGGAAATGAGATGTATCATCAACAAAAGTGTGAGTATTGAATAATGTCTTCTTTTATGACTTCCTCCTGATGGAAATGAGCTTTTCAGTAGACTGAGTTTCTATGGTTACGGATCACACCTGAAAAAAATGCTGAATCAAAAAGAGTACTGATGCACTTCTATTTTTTCGCACCTCTGTATATTGAACCACTATGTAGGTTGAGTTTATTTGTACATAACCATTTCTTTTTTTATACATATAACCAGCCTATTAGAATATATGGTGGCTGTTTCTCTTTTCTGATGAATTCTGTAAGCAGTGGTTGCAATTCATCTGAATTGTATTGTGAAAAACTGACATGGACAAAACAGTATTAGGTTACTTCAGTGAGGAGGCACACCCTTGGTTTCTTCTTCTGTAATCTCTGTTTATGATCAGTCTCTGTGGTGCTGATTAGATCCCACCCAGAGCCAAACAGGACTGAGTTTGGGTATGCCACAGCATCTGCGTGACTGCCAGTGGCATTAGACAATGTGTCATGTGAAAGTCAATACTCTTTGTGTAATGTTTGTTTCAAAGAAGGGGAAACTCCCCTATTCTTGTGACTTTTGGCGCACACACTCATACTGTTGTTCATATGGCTGTTGTTGCTGTAGTAATGAACCCTTTACTAATGGTAATGACAGCCTTGCAATTTTCACAGCTCTCTACGCTAAAGAAGTCCTCTGAGAATCTGAGCGCTCTCAATGTGTAGAGGCTGTTGGTAATGTCACACTGTGGGAGTCGTTCCCAATTATGTTTCCATACTCGCTCTCCTCGTGTGTTGGTTCCTCTGGTTATACTGTAACACTATTAACCCTCATATATGGCATTGTACTTCATGCTTAATTTCATGCACTTCTTTCCACCAATTAACAATGTCTACAACATTGTCAAGTAATGGCACTGCACACTAGATGGCAGCATGCTTCAAAACTGGAAACAGAGTGGAATAGTTTATCCTATTTACTGTTAATGCTTAATTTAATAAGGATTTGTAATAACACAAACAAATGATGCAACATTGCTCTCTTTTTGTTTCACCCTCTTTTATTTTTATTCTTCTGAAATTCATAGAAACAGATAAAAAACAACAATCATCTCCAGAGGCATATCAGTCAGGTAGAATGCATGAACTCTAGGCTAAATTTGTGTGTGTGTGCGCGTGCGTGTGTGCGAACCAATGTGGGTGTATAATATATACTTTTTTCCCCTCATTCTTCCCACTGGCTTTGACATCTTCAAAGGGCCTTGTGCCAATACTGCTTCATAGCAATCATATTTGGACTGAATAAATTAGTGGAGGTGTTGTACAAACGAAATGAAAGGATGTAAGCCTGAGTGAATGTCTATGAAAGCAGAGATATGTGAAGGGCTTTGCATTGAATGTTCAAATCCAGCAGTTTTGACAGACAGGTAGGAAAAATAAGAGATTGTAAAGAACATGAACTTTTAAGCTTCATTTATAAAACGAAGATCGTTCTAGGTCCATGACATTTCTCTTAAAGGGTACATGCTTTCAAGTACTGTCAAGTACATAGACATAACTGGACCATTTTACCCACATAAAACCAAGCTGATTCCTACAAAATGAAAGCTGTCCAACTAGATAGATAGATAGATAGATAGATAGATTTTTACAGCACTGTTCTGAGATCAAACAGAGCTGTCTGAGTGCTTCACTGAGATCAGCAACAGCTGAGATCAGTAAAAGCTGCAGTTGGGTTGCTGGTCTGAGATCACTCAGAGATGTTAGAACACTAATTAAATTGTTGAGAGAATCTTTCAGAGCACTCAGATTAGTTGGAAAGAGTATTAAGTACTGGCTACTTCATTGAGATGAATAAGATCAGCTGTGAGAGGCTCTAGCAACTGTAAATAAATATGGGCTGATTTAATTAGCCGTATAGGTGTATATCTTCATGTGTATATCTCATCACGATGCTTGTGGGCTGTGCAGTGATTCAGAAATGCTACTTAGGAGGAGATTGGAGTAGGTGAGGACCATCAGTCAAGTAGTGGGGGAATGATCCAAAAAAAAGCCTATTTTACAGCTGCCACATTAAGTGTGTGTGCAAATGTATCCAATCATGTGCATGTCTAACTGTCTTTTTCCCTTTCTTGTCCTTGATATGATTATCTGTAGCTATGCATTCAGCAATATTTCACAAGCTGCAACATAACCTTTCTATTATGCCACAGTCATCATAAATATCAATGTCACAGTCCACGTGTGCTTGAGAAAGGGGACTTGAAAAAACCCTATGCCCCAACCCCCGCCCCAGCTGCCTTAAAGCACTAATCCCTGCACAAAAACAGTAAGAGTCGGGAGCTAAAGGGGATGCTATTTTACCTCATTATTGATTTGATATCAATTGCTTTTGGGACTAAGGAGAATTTGAAAAGTAAGTGGATTTGATTGGCCAGATGCTCCTTTCCTATGCTCTCTTTCTGCTCTAGGTCACTGTATATATTTTTTTCAAGCCTCTCATACACAGAGGGCAAAGGAGGGTGAAAACGAAGGGACTCTGGCTCATGCATATTGATAAAGAGCATTGTCTGTGACAAGGTGATTTTCAGCATTTTTAGAGGCAAACAAAATAAGCAAGAAGCAGCAGGGATAAATCCTTCATAGATTGTACTCCCCACTGCAGTACGACTTAATTGGTAATCAATGCCCTTATTTAACTTAGAGGGTAGGAAATTATACATACACTATGCAACTAAACTGTGACCAGAGTTACCATGGAAGCACTGCACAGCATACCAACCTGTCAGCAGAGTCTTGCTTCTGTGTATATCTCAGACGCATCCCCACCCCCTTCTGTCCTTTTCTTTCGCCCGCCCATTTTTTTCTCTCTTATACATTCCTTTATGGAAGATGAGCCATAAATGCCTCTGAGACATTGGTCATGGAGGTGACTTTCACCATGGTCAGTGAAAATACTTTTCAAATACAGTACTATGTATTTTTAATACCACCATATACCAAAAGACAAATATACGGTCCCGACTAAAAATCTAACCTCTGAGAAGAGACAACACTGGGCACAAGTCATGGCTATCAGCAGATATGAATATGGCTGCTTGGTCTTTAGCTTAGTGCCCCATGAAAGTCTTAGTATGGTTCTTGGGGCATCAGAAACATTGTAAGTCTCTATCTACACCTTGTCAAAGCAATTGCTTGTTACTGTTTCCGCTCTACTGCTGCTGTAATACTGCAGACCAGAGGAGCCCCCCTCTGTCATTATCTGCAACTGTGCAGCAGTGTGGCCTTCCTCACTCTCATTGAGCTGCAGCAAAACCTGCATAGGGCTTTTACCCTGACAATGATACACCCATTGTTAATGGCTCAACCTCAAACTCATCTGCTTTTATCATCAAACAAAAGCCTTGTTTAAAATGAGGCCTCATACTAAAGAACACCCATAAAGTACTTTAAAAGCCATCTAGAGGCTTTTGAGTATGGGAACTGGAAGCCCAGCTGCACAAAGGCTAACTCTCCCTTCTGCCACCCCCTGGGGGTGTTTTGTTTTTTTCTCTCTTGTACATCCTCCGGACTACCTCTCTTTTGGGCATGTGGTCAAACAGTGGTAATCTGATCAACCACACGTGTGCTGTCCACCATCTCCACGCACTCAATTTCCTCCCGATTTTCCGCAGCATTCTTTCTCTCCCTCCGTTTTTTCTTGGAGGGAGGCAAGAAGGTAAGCAGGACGGGAAGAATGGCCAAACAGTGGAAGGCGGTGATGATGGCGGTGAGAAAGAGGCACCTGAAGAGTGTGCGGGTGAGATTTGAGGGCACGGCCGCTAGAGGGAGCAGAGCAGCCCCATAACACAAGTAGCTCTGAAGGGCAGGAACTCCATGTCGCTCCAGAGCCAGTTTCACCCAGCGCGTACGGGTGGATTCCCGGCCTAGAGCGAATGCAGACACCAGCGGAGCGCTGGAGTCTACAGCATAGTTCACGCCGTAGATCAGACACAGCACTGAGACGCAGTCCAACTCTACCCGCCACAGGGTCATGAAACCCACCAGCCCAAACTCAACAGAGGCTACTGTCACAGTCAACCAGGCATTCACCAGTGGGTCAGCTGCCAAGAAGGTGGAAAAGAAGAGCAGAAAGATAGCAGCGATGCAAGAGTTTTTCAGGGGTGCTCCAACAGATGAAGCATAACGGTCCATATACACAAAGGATGGATTGAAGATGATGAACTTCACCCTGGAGGTCAGCGATAACTTCCTTAGTGTGTCCAGCAGGATAGACATCTCCTCTCGTTTGTTTTCTGTCGTCTTGGCCACTAGAAACATACGCGAGGCTACCACATCAAATTCCCCATCCGCACGTTTGGCAAAGATGATATCGTCAGAGAAATGCACATATCGGGGTTGGCGCAAAAAGCCAGACCGCAGGCGCTCTGTGAAGTTGCTGCATGACAGGCTAGTGGTGATGTTCAGCCCGTGAAGGTAGTTGAGGTAACTCTCAAACCAGGAGATGCGTTCAAAACCTTTAGTGTATTCCAGTAGGTCCTCTTGAACGCTCGTGTTCCAGTACTCAATGGACTCGTAGATGTAGAAGCCAATCACGGGGCTGTAGCTGCTGAAATACCGCTGCTGTGCACGGGTGTATGCAATAGTGCTTGTTTCAGTGGCAACCACATTACTAAGATCTGACCCTTCACTGACCTGAAGGTAGCCCATGAGGGCAAAGGAAACATAAACCAAGTAGAACAGAACCACGAATGGTTTGACGTAGGTGTTGGTGATCCAGTCACAGTAGTACCGCTTCATAAAAGCTACCAGCAGGTGACTCTCGTAAGCACGCAGTGGTCCTGCTTCTGTTGCCTCCTCGTTGTAATGTGTATACATGAGAAAACGGTACCACGCCGGCTTCTGCTGCAGCAACTCAGGCTTTGGTACACGCCTGCAGAATAGACTGTGACGGTAGTTGTTTTCCAGGTAGCCGGCAAACACCAGGTTGGAGCCGTAGAAGGTGAGGATGTAGAGGTAGTTGAAGAGGACTGAGATACAGGCGTTTCGACAAAATAGACGCACGGCCTCAATGTTTGTGAATGGACTGGCCCCGATGCCGAAGGTGACCACGTGCAAGGCCGTGCTAGCTGTGAAGGGCAGCATACAGTCAGAGAACACCGCAGCAACCCTCTCCTTCACATGCTGGTCCTCGCGGGTCCGACGCCAAGACGACAGCATCTCAAATGTGCCAAACAAGCCATGACCTGGAAGAGATGAAGAGAGAAAATGTCTTTCAGTGATTTATAAACGTGAATTGGAATGGTCTAAGCATAGCTTGGAATGATTTTGGCAGGCAGCTCTTTCAAGTGACATAAATGGCTGCTGGGAAAAGAGGAGACGTAAATAATTGAACAAAACGGTGACAAGACAGTCACTCTGCAGCTGCATCGCAACAATGGATGTGAGGGAAAAACAGATGCTCTCTTTCTCTAGCTCTGGCACTGCTTTTTTGGGACAAAGCTAAGTCAAAAAGTGTTTAGCATGCATTGTAACATTTATACATCCATCAATGAAATCTAATTCTAATCCAATTCAATTCAGTCTATACATACTGTAGCCTATAGAAAACACCATTCCTAATGTATAGCTCCTCACCAGTGCAATTTACTGGAAAATCAAATCAAAATAAAGAAAGGATTCAGTCTTGAAAGCAAAGCCAAAGAAGCCTTTTGGCCACCACCACCTCTATTTACAGAGCATGATCTAACTATAGCCCACTCTTTTCTCCTCCATCTTCACAGCTGATGAATTTGTAGCTAAATAAATCTCAGTCACACTCACACACGATAGCCACATGTCATGTAAAATTGATCTGATGAAAGGAGAAAGCCTTACAGATGTGAGGAAGGCTGTCAGCCCCTGTAGCCTTGGGACTTTACAGAAGCACAGAAGCCCAAGACATTAGGCAAACTGGGTCAGCCTACTTTTAGAAGTTGACATAAAGGAACCCGGGGTCCAAGTCACCATGATGAAGCTAACACTCTTACACCATAACATACATTTACACGTTTAACTCACGCTTTCACATTCTGTTGGTCTTTTTTCAGTTTCCTCTCTAGCTTTCTACATCACTCGCTCATACAGGCAGAGTGAGCAGATGGCTCTCACCTACAGGGTTGCCACGGCATCAGTGACTCATCATTTATGACGGAGGTTTCCTCGGTCCGATATCGCCAGTACTGCCTCTCACACATTCCTGGGATGTGTGCCCGGCACAATAGCTAGCAGAGTCACCAGACAGCACTGGCCTGAGGTTGTGGCCTCCACGATTGGACTCAAGTGTTCTGATTTTAGGCAGAGCTAAAGGTCTCAAATTAACTAATGGGCAGTAAGAGGAGATTGTTGCTAAACTAAACAATCAAGCTCTGCGAGCAAGACAAACAAAGTGAGAGAGAGACTGTAATTTTATTCTCATGCTGTTTTCTCACACTTTTGCCTTCGCTCTCTGCCTCTACCATAGATGTTTTCCTCTTTACTAATTGAACTGACTATTTCATTTCCACTCATCTCAAAACAAAATAAAGAATACTAATGTAACACACAGAGGCTGTTTCTCAGTATGCAAGTCCTTTATCTGCTGAACATCTCCCAAGATGCACTGCAGTCTTTTTCTCTTCATAAACATGACATTAATCTTAGCAATTATGGCCTATGAAATCTCTCCCTTCCATCTTTCCATTATCATCAGAGGACTGTCAGATGATCCCAGTTGACAGCTAATGCCCTTGTAATGGAATTTGTTTTAAATAAAAGGCCGGTGGCCTACAGAGATAAGGCCTATTGTTTTGTCAGACATCCGTTGCGTTGTACTACTTATATCCCTGTTTTTCTCTGAACCCCATTTAACCCAGTATGAACAACCTGGAATGACACTGATATGCTGTGACACTGGGTGGCTCTGGCAAGTTCTGTTTTTACGCTAAGAAAGTGCTCTGTAGGAGAGCTCTGTAAGGAGATGCTGTCACTCGGACTGCGATTGGAAACCAGTGGGGAGAATTCTGAGATTGCTGACATTGAGTGGCACAATTGGCAAGGTTGGGATTGAACTGTAGAAGCATTGTAAGAAGGACACAGATGTCAGTCTTCTTGAGATAGAAATGCAATAGTAATTTTGTGGAGTTGGTGGCACGGGGGTCAATATAAACGCATCGTCTCTCAGCCTTCTTGTCTTTTTTTCCCAAGCCCACGTTTTTCTTTTCCATTTTTTTTCTTCTCATTTCTGTCTTTCGCCCCAGCCTGTTATTTTCTCAACAGAAGCCTCCTCCCACATGTGGCATTAATTGCTGTGTGTAAGAGATGGCCAACGAGAGCGAGCTAAATGGATGTGATCTGTCAGGATGCATGTATGCGTGTTGGTAATTAGTCGCAAGAAATCTGCTCGTGTGAATCTGTTCCACAAGCACACAGTTGATTCACCCAGAATGGCTCATGGACAGAAGACAAAAGAAGGGGGTGGAATTCCTCTAAAGGCTGTCTGTTGAGCTCTATCAAGAATTCCTTTGATGTGGAGCGTTTCATTTTTAATGATACACCTTGACAAAAGTGCAGTGTGGAGCTTTCTGGCCAGTCAAAAAGGTGTAGTCGTTTAACCTGACAGTCCTTTAAAATACAAGCAGTCACAGTATGTAAATGGAAGATCAAAAGATTAGAACGAATATGCAAACAGCAATGGCAGCTAGTGATTAGAGAGAAAACAGCACAAATCACTGGAATGATGCATATACCATTCAAAAGTGTGGATTTAGTTATTCAGCAAGGATGCATTAAATTAATTAAAAGTGACAGTAACAAGTTTTGTTTTGCAATTGAAAATTTAGTTTTAGATAAACACTGTTCTTTTAAACATTCTGTTCATTAAAGAATCCTGAAAAAAAAAAACAGTTTCCACAAAATAATCAAACAGCACAACTGTTTTTAACATTGATAATAAAAAGAAATGTTTCTTGACCACCTAATCAACCAACGCTATCTCACAACCAATTTGTATGTATTTTGTACGATTTGTCTACACTCCAGTGACGGGTAGGTTTAGGGGCGGGGTTAGGGGTAGGTCATCCGTACAAATTCATACAAATTGGAGAGCTTGTAAAATAAGTACGATTTAGCAAAAATCATACAAATTAGTACAAGTGAGGTCGTACGAATTAGTCACCTCATAAAATATGTACGAACTGCCATGTTTTTTCCATCACAGGAAAAAATTACATTTAAAAAATTGTAATAATATTTCACAAAATATCTTTTTTAAAAATTTCAATGAACCAAACTTTTGAACAGTGTTGTACATTTTTGCATTATAGGAGGACAGGAAGGAGTAATAAAATCTCACCTAACATGACAAACGGGATGCCCAGGTATGTTGAATTGTATTTCCCTCCTGTGAGGTTGAAAATGCCTGCAGAGGTGAGTGTAGCAAGGCTGACGGTCACCAGAGCCAGAAGACCCAGCCAAGGCTTTGTACGCACACAGTCTCGCATTGAGCAGCACAGCATGGCCAGCGAGAGGCACACAGCCAGGCTAAAGAGCAGCGGTCTCTCTGATACCCGACTGGTCCTTTGGAAGTCCCTCTGAAGAGAAGAGGAAGTGAAGGGGTATAGGCTAAGCTCTGGATGAGCCTTTCCAAAGTTCTCCAGCTCCTTGCAGAACAGCAGCTCCCAGGTGGCCGCCACCACTTCGTTCAGTGGGCTGGCCGCTTGCAGGTAGTATGTGAGTTGAAGGGCTCGAGCAGAACGCACCCCGTCTCTCCCTCCGCCTGCCAGGACTCCGCCCAGTTGGTGCCCAATGTAGGCCTCCCGCCCATCTTTGAGTTTGGTGATAGGGTAATGCAGAGGGGGTACTGAGCGGTTGGATGCCCGTGCTGATCTCATCTCCTCCAGAACCCGCAGGATGTCATCCACGATGCAGCTCTTGCTGTCATCCAACAGGCAGAGGTGGGCAAAGGTGTAGTTGAATCCCAGCATAGGAACCTGGATCTGAGTGATTGTGTTGTGTAGCTTGGGGTGGAAAAAGAGGAATAAAAAATTGAGATTTTACTAATTATGTACAGGTAAATGCAGATTAACTAAATTAGATTTAGTCAATGAAAAGATATACACTACCATTCAAAAGTATGATAAAAAATACAACAAGAACAATAATAATGTGAAAAATTACTACTTTTTTATTTTGATGTCTTTTAAATGTTATTCTTGTGAAGGCAAAGCTAAATGTCAAATAATCACTCTAATAATGCAAGAAACATTATTTTTATCAATGTTGAAAACAGTTGTGCTGCTTATTATTTTTGTGGAAACCGTGAAACTTTTTTCAGGAATCTTTAATGAATAGAACGTTCAAAAGAACAGCATTTAATTGAAATAGAACATTTTGTGACATCTTTGCTGTTTGTTTTGATCCATTTAATGAATCCTTGTTGAATAAAAGTATTAATTTAAAAAAAAAAAAGAAGAACAGGTGAAATGCACTGACCTTAAACTTTTGAATGGTTGCGTGTTATATTCTTGCAACATTAGGAATAAATTCAAATTAAAATGTTTAATAGGTTGTTTGCACATGACGTCACTGATGACGTGCGAAATGCAGCTGGAGGGCAGGAAGTGATTTTTCTCCGTAGGAATCACTAGCAGAAACTGTTTTCTGTAGTGTGTTTTGGGACATATTCCATTAGGATTTATTGGTTTTAACAAGCCACCAATAGAAGGCAACCAATTACAAGTAGAGACCAACAGGGTCCATTACAGTTTCCCTTAAAACCAATACAAGTCCCATTATAACCAGTAAAACCATTACAAATTTTCTAATGGTGTCTAATGTTTTATTCAGCAGGGGTTTTATTTTTTTAATATTCCCAAAATATATCATGAAATATCTCGATTCTCAAATATGTGCAAGTAAATGCATTTTGCACCTTTATAGATTATGTTAGTTCTTTAGTAAAGTAGCCTAATAGTATTAATCTATTAACTTTGCATAAAAATTCGTCTTTTTACTTAAGTACCAGATATGGTGTCATACCATTAAATATATTTAATACGACTGACTTTGTATTTAATGTGAAGTTAATAAAAACATAGTAAGTTACTAATTAGCCTATAACACTTTCATTGTACAAAAAGAGAGCAAAGAACGTTTACACTATCAAAGAACATTTTCACTTCAGTCCAGCGAATTCAAGCACTCTCAAACTCCCATAATAATCTCTAAAGCTGTTTTCACTGTAAAATTAATATCTTACTTACATTCGTACATCTTCACTTTGCTGTTTCTGATGAGATAATTAGCCAGAGGTTGCAGTCAGGCAGCGCGCGCAGTGACGAAACAGCGTGTTTCAGCGGTGACTCATCTGAACGCCTCTGATTGGTCTTTGTATTCATAAACTCAACATAATAGTATGGGATTGGTTATAATGCGCAGTGCTTTAAAAACGTGTGTGTCTCTGGCTCTGTGCCAGCCAGCGAACGCAGATTTGAATTTAGCTGCTGGTTATGTTTTTCTTTTTTTTATGCATAGTTTACAGGACAAACTACGCATTTCACCTAAAATTGTTTGGTGTGATATGATTCCAAATTTAGGGGGGGCCAAAGGGGGGGCCAAGCTTGTTGGCAGGGGGGCACTGGCCCCCCCCTAGAACCGCCCCTGGTGATCAAAGCTAAATTTTCAGCATCATTACTCCAGTCTTACTCAAAGTGTAACAATATGCACTGTACCATTCAAAAGCTTGGAGTCAGTAGTATATTTAAATATAAATAAATATTTAAATAAGTATCGCTTTTTATTTCTCCTCTTTCCTATTACTTGTTTCGCTTCTGTTTCAGTTTTTATAACCATTTCTTACTATATGTGTAAGTACGTTGTTGTTTTTTTAGCATGTGTGTTTGGCAGTGTTATTTTTTAGGATCACTGATAAACTACTGTCATTTGATTTGTATTATTTGTATTTGTTATTTATTTAAATTTTAGTTAAATTATATCTGAATTTATTATGACTGTATAGGTCTTTTATTAAGTTTAGTTTGATTTAATTTGAGTTATTTTAATACTTCAACAAACTAAATGGAAATGAAATAATATATATATTGA